ATTTCTGCATGCCATCTTACCAGATTTAAACTGATGATCTATAATCCGGAATCGCCGAAGTCCCGACTAGTCCAGATTAACAACTTTTGACTGTATTAGGCAAAGAGCACAAAGCAAGATCACTATTATTTTGTTCGTCTTGTGGCTGAGCGGTGTTGGTGCACGTGCTTTCGAGAAATAGTTCAAGAAATTACGATCTTTTGTTTTAGTTATGTTTGCGAAAAAGGTAAAATACTCGTGTACTCTTCAAAAATCATACGCAGATGACTTTCCTTCTATTATTTCTTCAAGAAAACGTAATACATTTGCAATGCGTACCGTTTGTCGTTGCGAGTTTTCGATTTCGCACGGTAAAGGGTCGATGCTCTCAAACATGTGCTTACACAAAAACAGAAGGACAACTTGAGTTATATTGACACAAATTTTTTTTTTTGTGGAAGCAAAGGACTGAAGGGTTTTAAATACAGAATGCTTGTTCTTTGCCTTTTTACTGGAACACAAACTGCCACTGTTTCGGGTAAGATTGCAGCTTTATTTAGAAAAATGTTTCCTGATAGATATGAGATACTTTTTGAATAGATTTCCAATACTTTTTGACTAGATTTCTAATTTTACTTCATTTCAGTCATGAAAGATGATTTTGATGTTGCAAATGATAAATTGTACTTTACAATTAGAAAATTTGGATAAAGTTATAAAACCATCTAGGATTGGCACCGAGTGGAGTTTAATTGGAAAACTGAAAGGTGCTAATTGAGTAGTCGCTAAATGTGTAAGGAAAATTCACACGGCTAATGCAGGGTTAGTATTTTATCAGTTGTATTTTTGGATCACTATTTGAAAATTTTTTGTGCCTGTTTGTTCAGTGTCAAAAATTGAGTTTTATTATACACTGTGGCTTTTTTGAATAGTTTGAAACGAGGTATTGGGTGTCATTGTTTTTAAAGCAGTGCTTTTCCCTCCCCATTAAAAAAAAAATGTGTTGGAGGAGGCAATCAAAACATCTTGCCAAACTGCCATAAACTTCTGTAAATTTTTGCTTTTATAGTTGTTTGTACATTAACTTTTTTCATAAATACTTATTTGGATCTTTTTAGAAAGTAAAGTTTTTAAACATTCTTAAAGTGTTTATATCAATGTCTAAAATTGGGACCACATTGTAGAAATTTGTTTTATATAGAAATATCAGAGTTGACAGCTCTTCCGATTTAGGCAGGAGACTACCGATTTCTGACCATTCTTCCGCCAACCCGATTTTTAATTTATTTCTCTTGACTTTCTCGTATAATTTCTCATGATTTTTATGTAGCGTAGCTGAATATTTCATTATTTTCTCTTCAAGAAAGTAATTCTCGGCATCTGAAAGTGCTTCGTTTTTCTAGATGCATATAAAAAAACTGAAGTCATTTCATCACTGAGATAAGGTGCTTTTCTGCTTTGTGTATGAGAATTTGAAACACGTGTCCCATAACATCATGTTCCAGTTCTCCAATGAGAATCAAGTGCCCCTGTGGGTCATCTGGCATAGTGTTTTATCTTGCCAATACAATGAGCACAAAGCAAGATCGCGGTTGTTTATTTCATTCTTCAAGCCAGTGAGTAGCCTAAATTTCACATGCTTCCTTGAAACAGTTTAAGAACCTGTAAGTTAAGTTTAAGAACCTAAGAGTTATGTCTACAAAAAAATTAAAATACTAATGTATTTTTCAAAAATCATACACAGATGACTTTCCTTCTATTATTTCATCAAGGAAATGTAATAGTGCAATGTGTACAGCAAGGGCTGTTTAATTTTTTTGTGGAAACAAAAAAACCCAAAAGTTATTAATGCAGAATGCCTGTTCTCTGCCTTTTTACTGGAGCATAATCTGCCACTTGCAAAGGAATACTCAAGTGAAGGACCAAAATGGCTGCAGTTGTAGAAGAAATGAGTTCAAGAAATTGATATGAAATATCTTATTGATTGCTTTGAAACAGCAATTGCACAGATGCAAAATTGTATCCAATTGTTATTTCTTTTCTTTATTTCAGAGTCTTCAGAAATTGAGTGTAGTTTACTTTGTGTCCCCACTTTAGAAGAGATTCGACAGACTTTAATCATAGTACATCTAATTATTAAAACTTTAAAAGAAAGCGCAATTCTTCAAAATAATCCCTTTTAGCACTTAGTGCCATACCAGGAATGCACGAGGAATTGTAGGCTTGAAGACTGGTATCGCAGGCATCTTAAAAAAAAAAAAAAGAAAATTCATGTTTACGAATTGTGAAATGCACCTGTTGCCTTTCAATTTAGCAGTGAAAAAGGGTCAGCTTCTTTGCCAATAAGCATGGTTGAACACAAAGTTGGTATTTATTATTAGCTTGGAAAGCTTGCTAAAAGGAAGGAAAAATTGAAACAATTCCAACAGCTGCATAGTACTGAAATAAGAAAAAAAATCTGAAATCTATATGTATGTACAATGCGTGTGCCAAAAAAAGAGGGGACAGTTTTTATCTCCTGTTGTACTGGACCAATTAAAGAAATTCAACTTGCATTTTTCCTGTCTCGAAAACGCGACTTAGGATATGTATTAGATTTATATACAGCATTGTTTCAATATAGGTATTTTGACACAAAATTTGCCTTTTTTTTAAAAATGAAATGCCCATTTTTTTCCATATTTCTCATTTCTACGACTCAGATTATACCAAACTGCCAAGTTTTGTAAAAATTACACAAGTAGTTTTAAAAAAATTAGCTCTCAAAATTTTAGCTCCTCAATGTTAATTAATTTTGATATATATTTATTAATCTTTTTTATGAAATTTATTTGATTCTTCCTTTGATATTTCGAAATTTGGATTAATTCTAAATAAAATTCGCTTATTTTTATGATTTATGTTTTAAAATTTGTTATATTTTAATAAATTTTGTAAATTTTTTGAAAAAATTTTGAATTATAATCCATAAAATTTTTATTATCGCCTTAAAGTAGACATAAGCATACCTGCAAAAAACTAGTTTTTTTATTCAAAATTTCCAAAAATATATGTGAATTTATATATTGCCACGTTTTGAAATTTGGCATATTTGTAGAACAATTAAATGTGATTTAGGCACTTTGTTAAAATTATTTGAAAGTAGAAAAGATGTGAACTTTTTCCACTCCTGCACAATGGAAGGGAAAGGAAACTATGTTGCCATGTATTAAGAAGTTCACCAAGTTAAATTTTGAAATTTTTCCGTTAATTTTACAAAATTTAATATTTAGGCATAATTTGAGTCATGTAATTGAAATTAGGAAAAAAAAATTGGTATGTCATTTTTGAAAAAAAGATCCATTTTGTGTTAAAATACCTATAGTTTTTTTTTTTTTTTTTTTTTTTTTTTGTGCAGTGTCTTTGGTTATCTTTGGAGAAATGTTTGTCTAGGATCATAGACCACTTCTTGCATTTTTTAAGGAAGAAGTAAATGTTTCTAGAGTTAAGATCAAAGCCTCTGTTTACTAAAGTAAATAGAGCCTTTTACTTCAGGTAGAAAATGCCTTAACCTTTTGGTCCTGGTGGGCACATACGTCCCAGAGATTGGATTTCACGACCTATTGGATAATTAAGCCCCCTTTTAAATGGATTTTTACGTTTGCAGTGTTTTTAATGAATTATTAGGGAACGAATATATGATTAAAAGAAACCTGGCCACACTTTTAAATTGCAAATGCCACACTTATGCTTTTAAGTATGCCGATTACTTATGTTTTGATTTGTCTATTTAAAAAAATTTATAGTAAATACAATTATATATGAAAATTTTTGTTGTATATGAACTGGTGCATGTGGCAGAGTTTATGTTTTGTAATATTCACGTTATATATTGCTGCACATTTTAGATTTGTTTTCTGAGAAAGGATAATATCCTAGACACTTGAGACAGTCCCATTTGTCAATATGATTGGGACATATTGTCTCAGAAGATTTCCAGGAAACGGAAAAGTTAAAAACTTTAAACTCTTATTACATTTCTTTTAGTATGTGAGCATTAAATTAAACTACTTTTAATAGTTAAATTTTAATCATGCAAAAGTGAGGTTGAAAGAGTTAAGTAAATGGGGATGCAAGGTATTGCTTCCATAGTTAAAAACAGCTGTGAGAAAAATTAAGTAATTTCTGCACCGATGAGCAATATTGGCACAGGGCAATTCTCAAAATACAGCCATAAAGCTCTCCAAAATAAAAATATCACTTGACAAATTTTCGATTATTGCAAGTTTATCATGTGAAGAACGAATATTTAATTTTTGTCTTCGGACCTTAAAGCGCTTTGCTCTTTTGTGCGCTCCATTTTGCCATTATTCCATGTTCGTAACACAGTTCTACAGTGCAGATTTACATTAATTCATGTTTTACAGTTGATGATTCTTGATCTGGTTAAAGTATTTAATGATTAGCGAAACTGATTAGAGTATTCTTCTGTTATTAGAATGTGCATTGTGCAATATGGGAAAAAATTGGCATGTCATTTCAGAAAGAACTCTGTTTTCTGTGTCAAAATACCTATGATAGAGTAATTTGGTATGTATAAATTTTATATCCCATGTCGTGTTTTCGAGAAATGAAAAACGCAACCTGAATTTAGTCTTTTTTTTTTTTACATGCAAGTATTTTTGTATTTAAAAAGTAATAATTGGACTTTCAGATATTATTTAGTTACTATTTAAAGTTAATTCATTATTAAAAATAACTTTCAACATATTTCTATGAATCTGAGAAAACAAATCTTTTTGTCATTAAGAATTTCCCAATTTTTGAGTGTCATAGATTGGCAAATATGAAATATCAGGGTAAGTTTCAAATTTTGTTGCATGTTTTTGTGTATGTGCTGAAAGATTTTTAATAATTATTATACCTAGTAACAAAAAATTTTGGCTCTATTTTTGTGTAGTGATTTTAGAAGGTTGTGCAAGATTTCACAGTAAATTAATCTTGTTCTTTATATTTGTTTCTTATATACAGCAAAGACCTTATTAAATGGAGGAAGAATTCTTTATTGAGATCTAGATGGTGACTTTTACCAAGCACCTTGTAACTAATTTGAGAATTGTATTCACTTTTTTATAACAGTGATAAACACATTTGTACAGTATGTAACAAAAACAAGAAGCACATAAACATATAATACATGCACAGACATACTCATAAATACATGTCAAAAATACAGAAAGAAATATTTTTATACAGGTTTGATGATTTTACACTAGGATATATTTCTGTGATCATTCACAGCGCGAAAAGAATTTAAAGGAGATTTCTCCATACATAAAAGTAAATATAAACTTGTATTTGGTAAAGTGCTTTGTCAGTGGTGTGGAGCATTATTTCCATTGCTACATAACTGTACTGGGATCATCCATTCTTTTGCTCATTCCTGAAAACAGAAAAACAATCTGATAAATTTTTCAAAACTCTTAAAAATATGCTGCCAGTGAAGGATATTAAATTATCTCTGTTTTGATATAAGATATATTAAATAGGTTATCCGTCATATTGATATAAAAAGAAAATTTTCATTTTTAATAATTTAATATTGATACACATGTTAGTTTGAACTGGGATTTACAAACAGTACAGTTTTAATGCTTTTCTTTTTCCATGCAAGGGAAGGACATGAGATAGGACTTGGAGAGAGGAATGGAGGAGGAGATAGGTTTGGGAGGGGAGAAATGATAGGGATTCTTCTCAAGCTCCCAATCCTCTCTCATCGCCTTTCCTGTCTCAATCCCATCTCCTTTCCTCTCTTCTCATATTTCCTCTTCAATTGGAAGAGGAGCTGAGATAGGATTGAGCGAGGCGAGGAGATAAATAGGATTGGGAGAGGATAGAGGATTGCCTCTCTTCTCCCAACCCTATCTCCTCTCCTAACCCTCTGTCCTAATCGTCTCCTCTCCCACCCTATCTCACCTCCTCGCATCCTCTCCCAGTCCTATCTCATCTCCTCGCCTCTCCCAATCCTCTCACCTTTCTTGTCTCATCTCCTCTCCCAATCATATTGCATGTTCCTCCACCCAATCCTATCTCCTCTCCTTTCCTTCTCTCCCAATTCTATCTCCTCTCCTCCCACTCTCGTCCTCCTCGTGTCTCCTAATCCTATCTCCCCCGATCATATCTCCTCTCCCCTTCCCTCCCCTCCCAGAGTATTGGGAGAGAAAAGGATGCGAGCTTCGATAGGATCGGGACGAGGAGATGAGATTGGATGGGAGGAGATAGGACGAGATGGGAGGAGATGAGATAGGATTGGATGGAGGGAGAGAATGAGGTTTGGGAGATTCTTCTTAATCTCGGAATCCTATCTCGCCCCCCTCTTCTCACCCAACCCTATCTCATCTCTTCGCCTCTCCCAAACCTCATCCTCTCCTCCCACTCGTGTCTCCTAATCCTATCTCCTCCCTCCCGATCCTATCTCGTCTCTCCTCTCTGGGAGGGGAGGGGAGAGGAGATGAGATAGGATGAGGAGAAGCACGGAGGTTAGATAGGAGATAGGATTGGGAGAGGAGATCGGGAGAAGACATAGGATAAGTTTGGGAGAGGCGAGAGGATCGCCTTTTCTTCTCTCCCAATATTCTCTTCGCCTCTCCCTCCACCCAATCCTATCTCCTCATCTCCCACTCTCGTGTCCTAATCCTATCTATCCTATCTCATCTCCTCTTCCTATCTCATCTTCTCTCCCCAATACTCTGGGAGGGGAGGGGAGAGGAGATGAGATAGAATTGGGACAGGAGAGGAGATAGGATTACGCTTCTCCTCTCTCCCAATTCATTCCTCCCATCTCGTCTATCTCCATCCATCCAATCTCACCGCCCCGATCCTATCGAATCCGCCTCCTTTTCTCTCTCTGGGGGAAGGGGAGGGGAGAGGAGATGGAGGGGGGAGACAGAGGATGAGGTTTGGGAGAGGGGAAGAGATGATTCCGAGATTAAGAGAATCTCCCAAACTCATTTCTCCCTCCCCCAATCCTATCGCTTCTCCTCTCCCAATTCTATCTCATCTCCCCCTATCGTCCTATCCCATCCAATCTCATCTCCTCGTCCCGATCCTATCGAATCTCGCCTCCATTTCTCTCCCAATACTCTGGGAGGGGAGGGAAGGGGAGAGGAGATATGATCGGGGGAGATAGGATTAGGAGACATGAGAGTGGGAGGAGAGGAGATAGGATTGGGAGAGAAGAGAGGGCGAGATAGGATTCCGAGATTAAGAGGAATCTCCCAAACCTTATTCTCTCCCTCCAACCAATCCTATCGCCTCTCCTCTCCTACCCACTCTCGTCTCCTTTTCTCTCCCAATACGCTGCGAGGGGAGATGAGATGAGATTCGATTGGGAGAGAAGGAGAGGCGATCGGATTGGGTGGAGGGAAAGGCGAAGAGAGTATTGGGAGAGAAGAAAAGGCGATCCTATCGCCTATCCCAATCTTATCCTATGTCTTCTCTCCCGCTCTCCTCTCCAAATCATATTTCGTCTACTCGCTTCTCCTAATCCTATCTCATCTCTTAGTCTCTCCTCAATTATCTCGGCCCCTCGCTTCTCCTTGTCCTATCTCCTCTCGTGTCCCAATCCTATCTCATCTTTTTGCCTTTCCTCTCCCAATCGCATCTCATCTCCTCTCCCCTCCCACAGTATTGGGAGAGAAAAGGAGACGAGATAGGATCGGAGGAGATAAGATTAGGAGACGAGAGTGGGAGATGAGATAGAATTGGGAGAGAAGGAGGAGAGGAGAAGAGAGTATTGGGAGAGAAGAAAAGACGATCCTATCGCGGCCCCCAATCTTATCATCCTACGTCTTCTCTCCCGATCTCCTAATCCTATATCATCTCTTCATCTCTCCTCTCCTATCTCGGCCCCTCACTTCTATCTCCTCTCCTTGCCTTTCCTCTCCCCATTGAATCTCCTCTCTCAGACTATTGGGAGAGAAAAGGAGACTAGATTCGATTGGGAGAGGTGAGGTGAGGTGCGGTGAGGTGAGGAGAGGATCGGGACGAGGAGATGAGATAGGATTAGGAGACACGATGAGATGAGATAGAATTGGGAGAGAAGAAGGCGGGGAGAGGAGATAAGATTGGGCGGAGGAAGAGGCAATATGATTGGGAGAGGAGAGGAGAGGAGGTTTGGGGGACGCGAAGAGATGAGATAGGATTGGGAAAGAAGAGGGGGCGAGTTAGGATTCCAAGATTAAGAAGAATCTCCAAATCCTCATCCAATCGCCTCCCCTCCTCATCCTATCTCTTCTCTCCTTTCCCAATCATATTTCGTGTCCTTGCTGCTCCTAATCCTATCTCATCTCTTCTTCCACAGGATTGGGAGAGAAAAGATGAAATTAGAATAGGCGAGCAGATAGGATTGGGAGAAGAGATGAGATAGTATCGGGATAGGCAAGGAGGTGATAGGATTTGCAGATTGAGGAAAATCTCCCAATCCTCACTCCTCTCTTCATCCTCTCTGCCAATCCTATCTCCTCTCCAAGAGAATTGGGAGAGGAGCGAGGACTGGGAAAGAAGATAGATGATTGGGAGAGGAGGCGAGGATCAGGATAGGAGAGAAAGAGTGAGGATTGATAGAATAAAGAGATCCTCTCCCAACCCTATCTCCCCTCTCCCAGCGGATTGAGAGAGGAGGTAAGAGATAAGTTTGGGAGAGAAGAAGAGATAGGGTTGGGAGAGGAGAAGAAATAGGATTGGGAGAGAAGCGAGGAGATAAGATATGATTGCTCACTCCTTTTCTCTCCTAATCCTCGTCTCCCCTCTTCCAATCGTGTCTTCTCCTCCGTTACCAATTTTATCTTATTTCCTCGCCTCTCGTCTCCTAGAGGATTGGGAGAAGCGAGGAGAGGAGAGAGGGTTGGAAGATGATATTCAATTGAGAGAGGCAAGGAGATGAGATAGGTTTGGGAGACGGGAGGTGAGGAGAGGAGTGAGAGAGGATTAGGTGAGGAGATAGAATTGGGAAGGGAGAGGAAAGGAGATACGTTTGGGAGAACATAATTATAGAGGAGAGGAGATAGGAGAGGATTAGGATAGGATAAGGAGAGGACCAACACAAACATTTTGATTAATATTTCGGAAAGCAGCTATATTAGTTGTAAAAAGTTGGAAGTAATTCCAATTCTTGCAAGAGTCATTAACATTGTGAAGTGTAATGTACAATGTTTGAATAAAATGTTATGTTCTTTAATAAATGATGGTGTATTTATTTGTTGTAAGCAATCTTTATTTTGCGATTTATTTTTTGGAGCATAATAACCTGTTATAGTTATAAAGACAACTATTTCATTGAAACACATCTCCATGTGCAACCTTGTTTACATGACAAAAGGTATAATATAAATGTATTACCTACCTTCATACAAACGCCAGATTAATCAGCTCTATGGTTGATACTTCTCTCCCCGTAATAATTCAGTATTTTGACGAAGAGCTGGACGTGTTAGGATGGGCATAGAGCTCCTTTTCCCGATGTTTTCCAAAAGCTGGGCATTTGCAACGATCTGCTGTTGATTCTCGTGAATCCGCCTTTGTGCCAGATCGAGCATGAGCCGTTGACGAAGAATTTCCAGAGGATTCACGACAGAAAGAGTTGGGCCTTTCCTTCTCTTCACAAGTGGTGACATTTGGCTCATAGGGATATCCACTAAAGAGACCTACAAAAGATTTATTTTTAAGGAAACTAAACAATTCGACAATATGACCAAAACTGCAGGGTTTAAATCACTTTATGTGGAAAATGAATAATTCTTTAAGACCTGTTAGTAATAGTGAGAGTACTAAGGTCGATCAGAATTAAATACCTCTGAAAACTAAAGTAGAAGACGTTTTTGAGAAAGCTCTGATATTGCAAATTAGGAGCAACATATAGTTCCTTGTAGCAATTAAAATCATTGCACAACTTTTATATAACATAATTATCTTTATGGGCGAACGTTCGTTAAACAAACTCAAGCCTCTAACTATGAGTCGTTTCCTCGGAAGTCATTTTGAAGCTTTTATTTTTTTATTTAGGAAAGCTGAAACTATTTCATTTTTACTCAACCATATAAAATAACTTCCATGGTTTCGAAACATTTATGAAATTTCATTTATGTTTAATTTACAGGAAACAGTTTTTCTTACAAACATGTGTATAGAGAACTTGTTGTAGGTAAATCAGATTCCGTTTATACTGCATTTTTCTTACCTTCACTTGGTATTTAACAAGGAGTGTATTATCAAAGATTAGGTGGCATTAAAAATTTCAGACTGAGATTTTATCAAGTTTTTATGGCATCAGCCATAAAAGCAAAGGCAAAAGCTCTTTGGTGGTGTAAAACTAAAAATGCTAACAATCATACCTCTTATACTTCCGACCTCTCTACATAAATTTCAGCTCGTTATATATTTTCAGCGCCTATTTGGCGCACAGATATTGGTGGCCAGACATTACCGGAAGACAACTTATGTCATCCATGATATCGCCGGAAGAAGCAGAGATTATAAATTGAAGAGGTTGCTTCAAAATTAGACAATACTAAAAGTTTATTTTCACCGAATGGCAATGGCAACCGTAGTAATGGTTAACCTGGGTTATTGTAACAATGCGACAGCGTGATCTCTCTTTAAAGCTTATGAATAAATTTCACAATACTCATTGAATTTTCACACACACATATAATCATTCACACATGGGCTTTTATTAAAAGCCTCAGCCTTCTGAGATGATAACTGAGAGTGTCTCACAGTTTCACAGTCTTGGTTTTTTTTTTTTTTTTTTTTTTTTTTTTTTTAATTATCAGGTGCCAGCCCCATCTCACAACTCCACTGTGAAGTCATTCACCAACAATAGGATTGAAAACTGTCAATTTTCTTGTTTATATTCCTCTATTTTTTAATTACCATACGCTAGTGCTGGGATACCATAGTCTAAAATGTAGCTCATCTTCGACCGGCTATAAACTTTGTTCTGACGAATAGTGAAGAAATGGTGTTCCTCAATTGCAATTCTTTGCTGAACTTCTTGTCTAGGCTGCACACGTTGGAAGCATTATTTGTAGTTTTCATGCATGATTTTATTTCGCACCACATGACAAACTTTCTATGACGTTTTCTTCTCTCCTGTCCCCGATCAGAAGGAATACATTTTTAGGGCACAAACCCAGAGATTCATGCACTAGTTTCGATAAGAATTCATCTTTCACGCACACAGTTTTCTTTTCAGAGGAGAAAAAATTTAAAAAGCATATTCCATTCTGTATTCCATTCACCACAGCTTATGAAATTGCTTATGGAAGAAGAAAAGTATTTAGCATTTAAAAACCAGCACTTCAAGCAACCGACTCCGTATATTCTATATGCTGATTTCGAAGCAATAGTTAAAAAAGTGCACACATTGGAACCCAGTAAGACTGCCTCATATACGCAACCTATCATGAAATACGAAGCTGCGGGTACGCCTAGGTATTTATCGGCCCCGATGAAAATAGTGTGAAGCTGGCTCATGTTTTTGTATAATATAATCCGTGAAAAAGATGAAATCGCAGAAAAATTAACCTGCATCATTTCCCCCAACTATGACCCAGAACAGAGCAACTTCTTAACAAATTACAAAATGTAACAGCTACATTTTGTAATTTGTTTTAGAAGTCTCTTGGTAAGGATCGCGTTTATGGTCATGACCACCTGACGGGATGTTATGGAGGAGCGTTACACAATTCTTAGAACTTGAAATATTCTCTGCAAAAAAGATACCTTTTAGTGTTTCATAATTTGAAGCAGTACGACGCTTATCACTTAATGTGCAAGGATTAGGGAGGACTATCAAATCGAAGTGCTCGCACTAAACATGGAGCAATACGTTACTTTCGCCCTCAGCAAGAATCGTAACAATATCAAAGTGTCCTTGCAGTTTATAGATAGTTTTCAGTTTTTGAATACACACCCAGGAAAACTCGCACAGAATCGGCCGGGAGAGAAATTTTACATTTTGCAGGAAAATAAAAATGGAAGAGGATATATCTCTTCTCTTTGAAGAAACGTTCCTACCGCCTCCTTCCACTTTTCATATAATACCTTAACAGTTGATGAAATTTCATCGCTGGATTATGAGACGTGCTCGTTGCTCGGAACAGTTTCAAGATACCGATGATGGGGGAATATCACTATTTATAGGTAACATCAGATGCTGTACAACTTGCGGATCTGTTTGAAAATTTGCGAAAGCTTTGTATGCAGTTTTATGAAAGAGACTGTGCACATGTGATGACACCTTCCAGTTTGTGGTTTCTAAAAATAATTAATCAGACTTTGGAACTTTTAATAGATATGCATCTATTCATAGAACAGGGCACACGAGGTGGAATTTCCATGATTACGAAGCGGTGGGCACAGGCCACCATGTATATGCAGAATTATGACTCTACAAAACTGAACAGTTATATTATGTGCTTTGATGCCAACAAATTTATATGGTTAGCGATTTGAAATATCCTCCCGAGCTGGGTGATGCCCATAACTATTACCCTCTCGCACCCGAAAAGATTCAAATTAATTTAGAAGTTCTTTTTCCTTGAACATCCTGCCCCTCCCAACTAACTCTCAGTTTGAATGATATGAAAATTATGTAGTATATTATAAGAATTTACAACTTTGTTTAAAGCAGGGTTTAATATTAACAACAGTGCATAGAATTATGAAGTTTAAACAGAAGGTATGGCTGAAACCTTACACTGATGTTTTAACACTGATCAGCGCAAAAATGCAAAATCTGCCTATGAGAAAGAGTTTTTAAAATTGCCCAATAATTCCGTCTATGGTGAAACAATGGAAAATATGAAGAACAGAGTGAAGCATAACATCAAAATGAGCAACTCGCACGTAGAAAAGCTAAAAAACTGGTTGTTTATGCCAGTGGTCGGCAAACTTATTAGCCAAAGAGCCAAATATGAATATTACAACAATTTTTTAAAAACTTAGGAGCCAAATCTGCTCGTTTAGTAAACTTTTATTACACTAAATAAAACTAAATTTAATGCGAACAATGTGCTTACATCTTCTTGGAAAGTTTGAGTAAGTCAGGTTTGTATTTTGTTGTTTTTAATTTTCGGCAAGATTGCAAGTTGTCATCAATAAGACGACTTCTCAGTTTATTCTTGATAATGTTCATGCTTGAAAAAGATTGTTCATATATATGTAGAACCGAAAAGGGAAAGAACAGCAAACGCGGACTTTTTCAGCTGATCGTAAGATTCAGGAATACTATTCCAACGGTTGAAAATGATCATGTCTTCCTTCTCCAGGTTATTCAAAGCAGACCACTTGTGTTGTGAACTAAGATCACATTTTTTCTTCTCCAGTATTTCCTATTCAACACAAAGACGTTCGAATTTAGAGCGCCATATTTCCTTGTTTTTTAAATCCGGCAATTGTATTTCAAAGCTACCAATGTCAATTTCAAAAGGAGAAAATTTCAACTCCGTTATCGTAGCATTAAGAGGATTTTTGACAAATGCTAAAGTTGCTCTGCTGTTTTTAAATTCCCGAAACCTGCTGAAAAATGCTTCCCTCATATTTAAAATTATTTTTTAAAATGGTATTTATCAATAGAGGAATTATTTTTTTGGCGATACTTCAGCAGGCTCAGAAAGTGAAACAATGTTTCCCTTTCAAAATCCTGTGCAAAAATGGATAATTTGTTTTCGAATGTTATTACTTCTCCTAACACCGAAAAAATTAAGTTCCCTTTCCCTTGTAGTTTACGATTAAGCTGATTTAGATGAGACGTAACGTCTACCATGAAACAAAAGTTTTGGATCCACTGATCGTCTGTTAGATCTGGATAGTGAACGCCCTTTTCAAGGAGAAATGCTTTAATTTCCTGAAAAAGGGACGCGAAACGTTTTAAAACGTTCCCTCTTGATAACCAACGTACCTTGTTATGAAGCAGAAGGTCAGCGTACTCACTCTCCATTTCAAATAAAATTTCTTTGAATTGGCGATGATTAAGAGCTTTAGCTTAAATGGAGTTGATAATGGTAATCACTAATTCCATAACTTTACAGATTTCTTCCGGAAATGGTTGCGCACAAAGCGCTTCTAGGTGAACGACACAATGGTAAACAAGTATCTCGTGATTAATTTTTTCTTTCAAAATACCGGAACCACAAACATACATACATAGCAGGTGTAATAAAATCGTATAAAAATACCTATAAGATGCGCAGCTAGATTAAAAAAAGACAGCAACTTTTTAATAAGACAGGACCACGGTAGATAAGACAAAATTGTTCACACTGCAACTGCTGTCTGTGATGCCAATTTGTACCTTCACTACTTTATAAAAAGCATGCAGGAGCATGCCGGCAGCTTGTACATGGTTTATGTTTACGTTTACGAAAACTAATAAAATTAAACTCGATGTTCGTTACGTATTTTTATAACAATATAAAATTTTAACTGCCTAGCTATTTTTTTACTGAACAAAATAATATTCTCGATTTATAGAATTATACATATTCTCGATTTATAGAAGAATTTTAATTTATCAAAATAAGATGTAATGTTTTTCTTACCAAGTTTTTTTTTTTTTTTTTTTTTTAAATGAAAATATTATTGCGCCTTCTGTGAATATTTGTACCAGAGCCGCACTTAAGGAGCCAAAGAGCCACATGCG